GGTAAACATGTTAGCTGCTTGTATTTCAAAGTATGTCCATACGTTCAAGTTTTATCCATCATCAAATAGGTAAGTAAACCTAAAATGTTTTCAAGCAAGCAATTCCATTGTTATATAAGTAATATACCAAACTAACAGTTTCCCGATGCTTTATTCCTCCTGTGTGTAGGCTCCATGCCAGTGACGCTACTCTGTCTGACAGTGGTGGTCAATATCCAGCCGACTCCGTGCCATAACTAAAACTATCATCTGAGAAGGCATCAAACGCTGAAAGCATCACACACCGGGGTTAATTACCTGCACCATTCATAATTAACGATCTACACCGCATGTAGTGGAATTTACAGACGAATGGTTTTTTTTATCAATATGGCGATACAGGCTGAATTGGACAGCTTTACAATGATCATAGAGACGTATTTCATGGTGCCAGTGGATTTAAATCAATGCATATACTGGGTCGTGTTCGTGTACGAGATTTGAACAATGCTGAGTCCTTATTGTATACTTGTTTTCGGGCAGCAATGGTATCACACAAGCACGCAGAACCTACTAGATGCGAGATCGTGCAAAATATCTTGTTCAGTTCAGTTACATATATCTATTTTGAAAACAAGCATTTAGGCTGTTTCACTTTCGAAAAGAAAATAATCGCTTTCGTGATATTTTTCGTTTCGAGTTAACCCTAAAATAATATATTCCTTTTTCATAATATCTTCTTTCTTCATACTAACAATTAATTGATTTATTACAGTATTACTAAATGTCAATTCATAATAAACTTACTATTGCCTTCGAAAATATATTTGCAAACCCTTGTTCATACAATTAAGATTTTGTTTCTTTAGATAAGACAATGGTTTATTAATATCATAGCATAAGTAATATTTTAAAAGCAAACAAACAAATAACGTTTTTATTTAATAACTATTTTTAAAACTGTATTTTTCAATTTTAGCACTAATTATATACCGAACTATAAACTGCGTTCATTAATTTTACATATGCTCAGATACATGTATGTTGAAGATGAATAAGCTCTTGAAGAATACACCTGCACAATATTTATAATAAAATATTTACATGCAGATGAAATATATCCGTATAATACAACATAGACTACATATTTAAACCACAACGACTGACAGGAGACATTGACAACTATCAACTGACACTTGGTATTATGGTTTATTCAGTTGAATGGCACGTTGAACGTGTCCCCTTCGTCACGGCCTACTATTTGTATCAAACAATCCAGTTTAAATCTGTTCTGTTCAATGAAAAATCGATATCTGAATTCTGTCACAACACAATAGTATGTGGAGATTATATAGCATCGTACGTTAATAAATAATCATATTTTTAAAAATGTTTGATTTTACCAAATGAAATACGATCTATAGACGGATTAGAGATGATAAGGCTGAACATGAACAAACTAACAATGATATAATCCAAACCACAGACTTTGTGATTCAAAGTAGTAATGGAAAAAAATAGTGCCAATTTCAGAGAATTCGTAGTTTCGTTAAAGTAGATGTATAATGCGATATAAAAGTGTTTACATATTCTGATTTTGCTGTGCCAGAAGATTGCTAATCGTGATATGTTCAATTACACTCTACAACAGAACACGGAAGTGTCTGCAAAACCGTAATTCAAACACAAAATCGATAAAATTAAGGCAAAATCATAGCAAGGGAATGTTTTACATGCATGAAGACCATTGTACAGTACAGGGGAAATAAGACCAGGTGTTCCGTATGGGTAAGCGACACTGAAATACATTTACAAATATAATATTTTGATGTTGCTGTATCAACATTTAAGTAATCATGATAACACAATTTACAAGTTAAAAGGGGTATTTTTCAATTTATGATTTACCGGAATCGAAATGTAATAAATTTGAAGTGTATCATTTTATTACTTTTTGTTTAAAGGACGTTAAACCCGAGACGGTAGAGGAAATTGAACCCAAAGCAATACTTTTATAAAAAGACATCAGGGTGAAAGAGAACAAACAGAATACCGGAAAGATATCAAAAGTGTCGTTCGAAATGAACATCGATGAAACTAGAGCGAACATGAGCAAAAGAAACATTTGCAAATCGTGTTAATCAAGGTCGAATCCTTGTAATGAGGAAAGCAACCTATGCAAATCTTACCACCCAAAGTTTGCTAAACAGGGGCGTGACCATCAACAAACGGAAAGATCAAGGTCGACAATATAAACATGTCGATATTTTACGGTTTACTCTTTATTCGCTGATGTGGTGTCAAACTTAAATTTCATCTTTTTTATTTTCGTCTAGATTGAAGGTTAATCAAATAACGATTCATCATTTCTACAGGTCAACACCGCCGAATCGTTATCAGACTATACACAGGTCTTACTACTGCTCATTATTCTGCTCATTTGTATTCAGTGATTCGACGTATTGACGAAGCAGTAGCGCAGAGAAAACGCTTCATTTATACATCCAACTGAGATTATTAAAAGTTCAAAGGGTGTATTTATAGTACACATATTATGTAGCTCAGTGTAAACCTAATGTATCATACATTTTTCTACAGGTGTTCTGTCATAAGTAGTGATTACAGCATGGTTACAGCGCCTAAGCATTGCCGAACCGGATACGCGATAGAACATGTCGATATCAGCCAGCATTCTGTTAAACCTGAGAGCGTACATAATGTAATGTGATATCAAAAACATATAATCTATTGTGCTGAGATTTTTTCGTGTTTAAGTGATTTGTGTTATTGATTGCATTTATTTTACAACGCATTTTCGATGAAAAAAATGTTTCGATTATTTTACAATGGGAGGAAGGTTCAAATGATTTTGTTTTGACTTTGAATTCATGGAGGGAAGATCAAGTCTTTTGCATAAATGTTGGATTTATTTTTGTTGTTTATACGTAGTTCAGACGGAATAGTCATGTCAATTTAGTTTATATTACGTCCTCAATGTGGGAACCTGGCCTGTGTTAGCGAAACCCTACGGCCTACTAATGAGCAAAATAAAAAAGGCGATATACATATCACACAAGGAAATCAAAAAAAATCGTAATGAGGTCATAATGGTGAACAGAAACCCGGCTATACCCTCCATCAACCTGTCACTAACTTGTGCAGATATGAGAAAGTTTACAAACGGCAAATCGAAGTCTTGTCATTTACAATAGTAGTAAGCCATCCCTGTCGGGTATGATTGAGGTATGGATCTAGTTAAGCGGCTGGTGTAGAGTAGCCAGAACAGTCCTTGGTTTAAAGATCATGTTTTTTTACGAGCGACTTGGTCAGCAATTTCGTGTTCTTTAAAGGCAACGCATCGTCGATATATGTTATCTCGAAACAGAATTGGAGGATGTGACAAGGTTTAATGACCTGACATTTACGTTCTTCAAAACATTCAGCCAAATGTGAAACAAAAACAAAGGCAGCAATGAGAAGGGCACATTTTGCGCCACGGATAAGAAAATAACCCGCTTTAAGATACTAACACTGAACACATTTTTTTTGCAACAAAAATTCAATCATTTTCAAGACTTTTTCCTCAATTTTTTTTTCATCGCGTCCTTTTCGTTCGTTTAATTTGGTTTCAATAGGTTACAGTCGTACATTTTATATCACTGTTTGCTGTCATGATTAAGAGAACGAAGTTTTTTCTTCAATAAATAAATAGGAAGGATTTTCTTTAGTTTGGTGAAGAACGGGAGAAAAATCTGAAATATTCTAATAGAGGAAATATTTTGGGGGACTACATTGTACGTTCAATATAAATGAAAATAATTTGTTTAATTCTTCAAAATCTACTTACAATACATCTCAAGCACACACGCAGGCATACACACATAGGGATATATAAGCCAGGTGGCATGGGACTAGTAATGAGCGCCTGATACTTGATTAATGTATATGATAATTGTATTAATTGTGTGTATATGTACTGTAACGCGCTTTAGAGTAGCTTATGTTAGCTAGATAGGGCGCTATATATCAAATGTTGTATATTATAATACAGTGTCATTGTTCGGCTGACCAATATAAGCAATATTAGGAGTGCTGGTAAAAAGTTTGGATAATGCCTAGGTAAAGTAACTCGCGATTTCTAAATTCTAAAATAGATGTAGGTTCGTATATCTTGTCATACAGTAGCTTGACAAGTTAACGATTGGTATGAGTAATGATGACATGATAATTAGGCAAGCTTACGTCTAGTTGCAAGCTAAACACAGTTGTGAGATACAGGTGTACTTTGTTTGCCAACTAAATAACGTTCTTAAGAAAAGAAATGAGTGCGATTTTTACATATGGGACAGGATATCAATACAGACTTACGTTTAGTTTCCATTTTGGACTTCAAGCTGCTTAAATATTTTAGAACTATGCACTGATAGATTCTTAACGTAAATCTATTTTCATCATGCTCTCGTTTTGCCCATTGCATGTCGTAGACTTCTATGAAATTCAGTAGTAGCTTGTATTAGTCCGGCTGGATCCGAGTTGCTTATTGATGTAGAAAACAACATGTTAACAATATATAATATAAAGGTATAGTGATATTTTTCTGAACTCCCCCAAAACAGGAAAGATAATTCATGAACATAATTTTCCAAAATAAAAAAATACAATATGATATTATGATGTTTAATATCACTTTAACGAATTTGTGTTGCAATGAATTTTAAAACAATGTCATTGATATGTTTTATTTCAAAATACGTACAGCTGTACTATATGCATAAGTACAAAGGGTTTAATGTTGGAAATGATAATAGCATTGACCGGAAACACGTCATCATTTCTGTTAGTTTCCGGGCGTTTTCCGTTTTGTATCGGTATAGTTTCCCTCCCACACATTTGTACTATTTCTCGTATATTCGGTTGCTGACATCAGCCATTTTAGGGATAATTCGTGAAGGAGATGCATCAAGCGGTTAATTAAATTTACTTTAGGAGCAGGCGCATTTAATATTGGAGTTTACCAAACAATGGCGCAATACACATTAGAAGGTAAATATGGACATAAAACAATTATTTACCTACAGTTTGTGGGAGTTAACAATATTCATTATTTAGAGATCGATTCATTCAAAAAAAAAAAAAAAAAAATAGCCGACTACAACTGAGACAATTTATGACAAAATAGAAATATTGTTCAACATATATCTGCTAACCACATCAGATCATGCATCCTAGTATGTTTGATATGGATTGTATTCAAACATCAATATCTTTTTCATGGGAATACATTTTCTTTTGAAGTTGACAAGTGAGGTTTTTTTCTGTTAATAGTGCTTTCATTGGACGAATGTCGTTATAAACCGTGTTTCACAGTATGCATGTATAAGTAATAAATACATGTTGTAACGACGAAGGGGGTCCACATATACACTCAATGCAAAGGTTGACTGAAAAGGCACACATTATCCGGTTTCCAGGTGAAATATTTAGCATCGGATAAGTCCTGCTCCTATATGTTATGTTATCTATCGAGTTCATGATTGTGTTTTAACGTTGAGGCGTTTTATTTTCTATTTTTTTCTGTACGGAGCAATAGAGTACCAGCATTATCACATTTCGATACTGATCGATGGCAAATCTCTTCAGCTGTACTGTACCAATTGCCATCTACGATGAATGAACTTTGAAATTACTGGCTAATCATATCGAGAGTTTGATCGAATAATCAATGCAGTCTGAATAAACAGTTTTGTCCCTGGTGATGGTTTAAATATCATAGAAATGAATAATGCTTTAATCGTTCCCAAATGCAATAGAAATATAACATCATTGAATTAGTTTACTAAAGCAAGAGAAATAAAGCATCATTTAATTACATAACTAACGCTTTAGAAATATAACATCATTCTTTCTTTCTTTTTACCTATGCTAAAGAGATTTTATCATTTTAATTCACGCTATAAAGGCCTTTATGCAACATCATTTAACTCTTTGTTTCACACTTTAGACATGCATCACCCTTTATTATTTATCTAACGCTATAGAAATACAACGTCATTTAATCCTTTATATAACGCTATAGAAATACAACGTCATTTATCATTTATCTAACGCTATAGAAATACTACGTTATTTAATTCTTTATCTAACGCTATAGAAATACAACGTCATTTATCATTTATCTAACGCTATAGAAATACAACGTCTTTTAATCCTTTATATAACGCTATAGAAATACGTCATTTAATCCTTTATCTCACGCTATAGAAATACAACAACATTTATCATTTATCTAACGCTATAGAAATACAACATCATTTAATCGTGTATCTAACGCTATAGAAATACAACAACATGTATCATGTATCTACCGCTATATAAATACTACGTTATTTATCAAACATCTAACGCTATAGAAATACAACAACATTTATCAAACATCTAACGCTATAGAAATACAACGTCATTTAATCCTTTATCTAACGCTATAGAAATACAACAACATTTATCATTTAGCTAACGCTATAGAAATACAACGTTATTTAATTCTTTATATAACGCTATAGAAATACAACGTCATTTAATCCTTTATCTAACGCTATAGAAATACAACGTCATTTAATTATTTATCTTACGCTATAGAAATACAACGTCATTTAATCATTTAACTAACACTATAGAAATACAACGTCATTTAATCATTTATCTCACGCTGTAGAAATACAACGTCATTTAATCATTTATCTCACGCTATAGAAGAAATACAACAACATTTATCATTTATCTAACGCTATAAAAATACAAAAACATTTATAAGTTATCTAACGCTATAGAAATACAACGTCATTTAATCCTTTATATCACGCTATAGAAATACAACGTCATTTATCATTTATCTACCGCTATAGAAATACAACAACATTAATAATTTATCTAACGCTATATAAATACAACAACATGTATCATGTATCTACGGCTATAGAAATACTACGTTATTTAATCCTTTATCTAACGCTATAGAAATACAACAACATTTATCATTTATCTAACGCTATAGAAACACAACGTCATTTAATCGTTTAACTAACGCTATAGAAATACAAAAACATTTATTATCTATCTAACGCTATAGAAATACGTCATTTAATCCTTTATCTCACGCTATAGAAATACAACGTCATTTATCATTTAACTTACGCTATAGATATACAACGTTATTTAATAGTTTTACTATTGCTTTAGAAGTACAACACTAGTAAAATATTTATCTAACGCTACAGAAAAACGTTATTTTTATTTACTTATGCTATATATATACAACGCTATTTCATCTTATTACTAATGCAGTAGAAATAAAGCTTTATCTAATATTTTAACTAATGCAATTAAAATTCAACTGAAGCTAGAGAAATGCCATAATATTTTTCATTTAACGAACGTTATATAAATGTTACATCATTTATTCTTTAAATTACGCTGTAGAAATACCACATCATATTTGTTTGAATAAAGCTATAGAAAAACAACACTATTTAATCATTTAAATAACACTATAGAAACAAAATACCGTTAATCATTTAAGTAACGCTGTAGAAATACTCATTTCAATAATGCTATAAAAATGCAACACCATTTAATCATTTTAATAACGCTTGGAAAAACAACACCATTTAATCATTTAAATAATGCTATATCAATAAAACACCGTTTAATCATTTAAATAACGTTGTAGAAATACAACACCATTTAATCAGTAAGATAGCGCTATAGAAATACATCACCATTTAATCAGTTAGATAATGCTGTAGAAATACAACACCATTTAATCAGTAAGATAGCGCTGTAGAAATACAACACCATTTAATCAGTCAGAGAGCGCTGTAGAAAAACAACACCATTTAATCAGTTAGATAACGCTGTAGAAATACAACACCATTTAATCAGTAAGATAGCGCTATAGAAATACAACACCATTTAATCAGTAAGATAGCGCTATAGAAATACAACACCATTTAATCAGTAAGATAGCGCTATAGAAATACAACACCATTTAATCAGTAAGATAGCGCTATAGAAATACAACACCATTTAATCAGTAAGATAACGCTATGGAAATACAACACCATTTAATCAGTAAGATAACGCTATAGAAATACAGCACCATTTAATCAGTTAGATAACTCTGTAGAAATACAACACCATTTAATCAGTAAGATAGCGCTATAGAAATACAACACCATTTAATCAGTAAGATAACGCTGTAGAAATAGAACACCATTTAATCAGTAAGATAACGCTGTAGAAATACAGCACCATTTAATCAGTTAGATAACTCTGTAGAAATACAACACCATTTAATCAGTAAGATAACGCTATAGAAATACAACGCCATTTAATCAGTAAGATAACGCTATAGAAATACAACACCATTTAATCAGTAAGATAGCGCTGTAGAAATACAACACCATTTAATCAGTAAGATAGCGCTGTAGAAATACAACACCATTTAATCAGTAAGATAATGCTATTGAAATACAACACCATTTAATCAGTTAGATAACGCTGTAGAAATACAACACCATTTAATCAGTAAGATAATGCTATAGAAATACAACACCATTTAATCAGTTAGATAACGCTATAGAAATACAACACCATATAATCAGTAAGATAGCGCTATAGAAATACAAATTTCTGTAATCATTTAACTGATGATGTAGGAGTCAGCGTCATTTTATCCTTTACTAATGAATGACTTAACTTATGCTTTAGAAATAAGACAGGATTTTACTTCATTTATTATTAAAACAGTAGGAGATTGCTTAGTTTTGTCATAATAAATGAGCAGATGATAAGAACCACAAATCTGTTTCAAAAGTTTACAGCTAAATAACTCACAAATGTTTAAACTTCTTTAATCCATACAGTTTAATTTTGACTATATGTACATTTTTATGTTAAAAGCCTCCAAGTGTGACTGGGAATGTCTATCTAAAGCACTGCAGAACAGGTGTGATATAGGAAAGCGCCGGATACCTTGGTGCCGACCCGCCTCTCTTCTGTGTGACGGTACAGGGGACTGTAGTATGCAGTGTGACGACACAGAAAAAACCCACATGATATCGATAGAGATTGAAGGGCTGAAGACGTTTCTTCAACAAGAAAATGTTTTATGTGAAAAGGGAGATATCTTCGGTAATCTTTGGAGTTACATATTATCTTAACATCAAAACATTTTCCCCTGTCAACTTACGAAAAGATAATAACCCTTTTCAGAGTATTATTCCGGATATTTTTTCATAGTAGTAAAAAAAAATGTTTCATAGTAGCACTAAAAAGTAGACTAATTGTACATACGCTGACAGCATAGCCGAATCGACATCGATTTGCGTGGGCAACTCATACATTTTTAATACTTTTGTATCCATACGCTTCACTGGTCATTTGTCTGATGAAGGTGACAGAGTACATACGCATCATCGAAACGTCCCACATAAACATTTTTTGGTTGTGCTACATGAATCTTTTCACAATCCATGTTTTGTAGACATTTTCTTTTGCATTTTGTAGAAATTAGCATGAGTTGTGATGAATGTGACATTCAGGTTAAAACAATGCGGTTTAAGCTTCCAAGGAGTCGAAGAAGACTGCCTTGTGAGACGATCCAGGAGATGCTGGAACAGAACGAAGTCCAATTTGAATGCATCTACAAAATCTGCGATTGTCAAACAGATAACAACTCATTCATTAGCCACTGCAAAGGTAACGTTTTGTTATTTTAACAAATATGGAGGTTACACAACACCATGACAAAGCCTACTCTATTTCTGCTTGATGTTTTCATGTATTTGTTTTAAAAGAAATCTCCAATTTCAAAATGGAAAATGTATCATTTCTATTACACGTAGACTTGTCTAGGAGGTCCACGCTAAGGGAAATCAAAACAGATAATTGATAAACATTTAGATGCTTCTAGACCTGTTTTTGTAAATAGGAGAAACATTTCGGGAATTTTCAAAGAGCATCATATAGCTAAATGATATGTTTAGACAGGTTTATGGGGCAGGATTCAAAGATTGAGAGAATGATGATAAGGTTTCGTATTTATTTGTTGCACTAATTTGTCCGCGTCGTGTTTTATTTGTAATTATATTATGATGTTAATGGCTTGTTGTTTTCATTGAAGTCGCTAATATTGGAAAAGGACAATTGGAACTATCAGATCCCAATGCAGATGACAATCGTGACACAAACAAGAACAAGAACGAAAAGACGAAAGAAAAGAAGGGAAAAAGTAGGAGTTCACCGCGGCCGACTGACGGAGATGAAGGACAACAACAAGTTGGGGAAACAACAACATCGCGTATTTCAACAACATCTCGAAAAGGTGAGAAAGGGAAAGGGCAAAACTCAGGTGAAGTTACAAATAAAAATAAACCAGTTAATCGCGAAACCACCACATCTCGTACAAATAAAAAGGGAAAGGGAAAAAACCCTGGCGGACAAAGCGGCGAAAACGAACCAGCATCTGGTGAATCTTCAACTACTTCTACAAATAAGAAAGGAAATGGAAAAACCCCTGGCGGACAAAATGGAGAAAACGAATCATCATCTGGTGAATCTTCAACTTCTCCTACAAATAAGAAAGGAAAGGGGAAAAACCCTGGCAGACAAAGCGGAGAAAATGAACCCGCATCTGACGAATCTTCAACTTCTCGTCCGAAAAAGAAATACAAAAAGAAAGGAAAGGGAAAAGGAACAGCGTCTCGTGAAAGCACAACAACTAGTGTGGGTGACAACAACATCGAACAAACCTCTGGAAGTAATGATCAGGAAAGAAAACCTCGCAAGAAAGGTTTTAGCAATAATCCGCAGTGTCTTGAAAACATAGATGACAGTGATAAAACTCGCGAAACAACACTTGGAGGAGAAACTTCAACAAATGATGACGTTAGTATTATTGAATCAACACAAAGTTTGTTTTCAACCATTTCAACAACAGATTGGGAAGGATCTACACTCACCATTAACGGAGTTCCTGACACAACAGAAGAAGAACGCGGCACAACAGAAGTGACTTCCCATAACATAACGGAAAATGAAAAAAAATATACCAGAATCAGTGGAGTAGGGCAGACTGGTTTCATTGACACCACTGAAAACGGAAATCGTGACGGTGAAAATGGATCAACCAAAACTCTCAACTTCCGCACGGACAGTGTCAACGGATCTACATCAACTGATACGATCGGAAGCACTTCAAATGGCATGACTGCCTTCGTAACAAAGCAACCGGAGCCTGTGACGCTACCAAGTAAGATTCCATTAGAGCATTACTAAATTGACAGGTACGCTGATCTAGTTAAAGAGGGAATTATCAAGCTGTCTTTTGACAGATAGAATGATCTTTTAGCTACCTTCTGAATACATATTTCAAAAAGTAGCTGGGAAATGTTCAGCTAAATAAATTGAAATAAATACTATTTCAATAGCGAAAATTTGTATTTTACCAGGTGGATTTACGTGAAGTACCATACAGATAGAAATACACCAGTGTACACCAATCAATTTTGTAAAACGTGTCTGGTTTTCTTTGTTACAGGATCAGGGTCAGCCTTCCACGACACAACTATGTTTAATTATGCACTAGCAGGAGGCGTGGCTGGCCTCGTTCTTATATTGCTGGTGATCCTGTGTTTAGTCCTTTTCACCAGGGACAGAAAAAAGTAAGTTTATATAGATGTTTAAGAATAGGACATTCCTATGACACTCTAAATATAAAAAGTAACTGATGTAATTCATCGCGATATGGATAACAAAATGGCTTACTCTGACCAAACTGTATTGTATTGTTGATCTGTTATGATGTTTCGTAAGCTTCTGAAGAAACAGTAAGTCTATATAACTTGTTATTACGTTATGTGTATTTTCATGCACAAACATTTTATATCCAACTGTAGGAAATTCATGTTTATAAAACCTCTTTTTCATTTCTAATAATTAAGTCTCTTGTTTCGAGATACATCTATGTTTTTTAAATTTTGAACACGTAATGATTTTGATATCAAAAAAAGGCAGACAAGAATGGCCTTTGCAAAAATATGTATCTACAATGAAACATATGTGGTGATTCTGTTTTCAAGAAAGAGGAGATATTTAGAGGAATCTATGAATTTGCCACCGCCCATTGATGTACCTGATGACGAGGTAGGTCATAAAATCTTAATAAATTTTCTTTGTTTTCCATGCTGAAGATAACTAAAACATATATACAATGTTGATATGAGTCTACACTAAAAGCTGGTGAGAGACGAAAACATAAATACAATGTTGATATGCAAGGTCACAAAGTCTACACTAAAAGCTGAGGAGAGGCGAAAACATAAATACAATATTGATATGCAAGGTCACAAAGTCTACACTAAAAGCTTGGGAGAGGCGAAAACATAAATACAATGTTGATATGCAAGGTCACAAAGTCTACACTAAAAGCTGGGGAGAGGCGAAAACATAAAACACCCCAAACAAAAAAGCCATTTGTCATCCTCCGTTCTTCACCATTGGCAGTATTACATTATTTATAACAGGGGGTTGTCCTACAATGTAACGGGGAACATCACTCATAAGGGATTGCTTTTCATTGTAGTATGTTGATTTCGTTATTTTCATCATGTCATCTTCAAAATGGACATCAACTTAATCAAATATTTCATGAATTAAGACGTATGAAGTGTTAAAATGGTGGTGTTGTAATGTTATGCAGAGTACTTTGGATTCCGCGACGGATTAACTGTAACGCCATACCTACTTAAGCTTAAGCTTAGGAATGATAATTGTCTGTAAATTCGTTTCTAAACTTTGTACCACACACGCGTCACAGCTCGAGTGTTGCTCTTTCATCGGTTGCTTTCCACTGTTAAAATCGATTAATTAAAACGTTTTAAAATTCCGTTTGCTTTCTCTTATTTGAAGTTATATACCAAGAATGACTTACCATCTTACTTGATGTTACATACCCAAGGTTATCTACCGGAAAGGCTGTCTTTTACTTTATGATACATACCTGAGGTAGTCTATAGGAAAGGCATCCACCTTATTGATATATATACTCATAATTACGGTTGCAATAATGACCCATTTCGCAACTATGAAATAGAAAGGTTGGACAAGATTACAATCGTGTTCATTGCTTCTAGGCTTCCGTACATGGTGTTGGAAATACCCACCCATCCTTGGTCCAGGTTTTGTTGTTTTTGTGCCTCCCCTGTTCCAAGTTCTACTTGTTTTTGTATAATATATTTTTTCTCCTGACAGAGTCTTGCCGTATACAACCGAAAATCCTCAAAGCGACTTTCTGCGATACATGACCGAAATGACCAGCGGCGTTCATTTAAACTGAAATCGTTTTCATTGAAGAAAATTGAACCACCAGATACAAATCATATTTGATGAAGAAATATGCAGTGACTGTCTGAGCATTGATGTCAACAATCTTTTGTTCGTTATTCAGGGAATATTGTACATTATTGAACATGTTTAAATGTGTGTTTTGATTATCTTATGCTCCTCCAGCCTTACCTATATAAACAATTGTGTCCGTCTGGTAGCTGTAGAATAACATATTGTATATAAATGAATTCATTATCACATGCTTATTTCAACCCTGTCTGTAGAAACAGGTGTTTTATCTATGTGTGTATTTAAAATCTGCATTGCTCTTTCAAATAAAGCCTTACCTGTAGAAATGTGTATTATAATAAAGCCCTACCTGTAGAAAGGTGCATTATAATTAAGCCTTACTTGTAAAAAGGTGTATAACAATAAAGCCTTACCTGTAGAAAGGTGTATTATAATAAACCCTTACCTGTAGAAAGGTGTATTATAATAAAGTTTTACCTCACCTCACAGTACATACAAGTTCGCATACTGTACGCTGTGTGCATATGTGGAAACAAAAACCAGGTACAATATCAATGTTATGTGGAGGATGTAATACAGACATTACAGAGAATTTATTTATTTATGTAAAAGTGTCACTAGATTCAAATCGGACGCTAGCACTGCAGACATTGATTTAACGCTGTGCACACACATACATCATTACAATACAGTTTCAAAACTCGGAAGATCATTATAATTCTTACTAATTGTGAACAATAACAACGTTTCATTTAGAAAGATGTGTTTTAGTGAAAAGGTTCGCTTAGTTATAATTGTCCGGAGTAATTTGTGACTAGTACTACTGAAAACAGCTGATGGCCAGCCCCTAACCAATTTGCACGGTGTAACACGTTAATAAAATGATACTGAATAAAGAAAGTTCAAATCTTTAATGCTTAGTTTATTATTATTATTATTATTAACAAACCAATACCATAATACCTTGTATGTGATCACGTTAAATATATGTGGGTGTGCGTTCTAATATAACAATGGATAGGTGAACTATTGCCCTTGCCAGATCCTACCTGAAAGTCGACCAAATGGTATAGAAAGTAATCTACAATCAACAACAGAACAGCCTACAGCTAAGTTAAACGATAAGCAAGCGGGACGAATTCGATTTGTTTTTTTGCGATCGTTAAATTTACTTTTTCTTGATAGTAACATCCTTGATTTTCTAAACTACAGAGTTGATGAGTTTGAGCTACGATTTTACTGACAATTCGATGTTATTATGTCTACGATGTAAAGTATTGAGGTACGTCACGTTTACAGGCTTTATATAGCGAGATATATTTGCAAATTATTCCATCTAAGTTAGATTGCTTAAAAAAAACTCCAGCGTTTAAAATTTTGCCTTAAAAAAAAATCAGCGTTCTAATCATATTGTAATGAATTTACGATTATGGCTACTGCTGATGAATCATTATTGATACATTCATGTGATATAATGTGCTTAGGTTTAATGTTTATGTCAAAAACTACATTCTATAACGTCAGACGAAAGTATCCCAATCATTTTTTTCCAAAATAAGCTGATCCTATGCATAAATATTATCGTAAAGACCTACATATAGTTCGATTAGGCAAATGGAAATATTTTCTTAAATTGTCGCTAAAACTTCATCATTAAAGCTGTTGATACGTACGGCGTTTATATCGATTGATAGCCAATTAAAATATTTCACAAATTCTGTCTGTGTTCCGACAAACGTGTTGAAAATGCCAAAAGAGACAATACGCTTTTGAAACCCTTAATAACGTTAAACAAATTAACTCCTGCCTGCAACAGACAACTTGGCAATCATGAGGGATTGATTGACGTAAATCAGTCATTTAAAATGCCAAATAAGCTCTACCAAATGATAAGCATAAGCAAGATAAGCAATTAACATAGTGTAGTTAATTCACAACCGACCTGGAAACTCGAACACAATTAGAAATATTTTTGTGAACGAAAATGTTCGTTCGACTCAGAGATTCAGGCGACGAGCATCAACTGGCAATGGTGATGGGGTCAAACAAACTGACTTGTTCAACGCTGACTTGGTGTCATAGCAAAGCTTTCCTCATCTTACATAACATAGCAAAAGCTAACGCCATGCCATGTAAACTGAAGGCCGATTTGTTGATTTTATTGAGAATGTTTTCGGACAATGAAATTGCAGTTTTATATATTATAATTGTTTTGCATACATATACGTTAGTGCAAAGTGAAACAGCACACATATGTGCATGTGCAGTACAAATGACCGATTATATTTTACTTATTCATAGGCATCAAGAATAACATTTGTTTACAAACTAGCGTAAAATTAGTTCAGCTGTTTTGATATACAGTTCATTACTTCTAGCCATTTGTATAACGTCCATGCAATAATTTCGCACAGTCTTTTATAGCATTAACAATTACTCGGTTCAGCACTTCTGATTTATTTAATGTTTGGTTGTCTGGGGCAGTAATTAGATAAGAATTGTTTGAGTCTATTGTTGTCGTGACTACTTTGTCCTAATCGTATCATTCTTACTTCCCGTTCTCACCATGTGTACATTCCGGAGTTTGCTTGTTAAACTATTTTATATTAACAATTAATACAGAACATATCACTTTTGAGATCTATCGCATTACCGTTATTTAATTCATTCAAATATAGTAACAGACATGAAAGAGGTATAATCGGTGGTATCGTCTTCATGAATTACGTCCGGTATATTTTTACCTTTCTTCCTGTTTCGTTTTGGAGATTACAATCGATATTTTTTCTTTTCATTAAAATGATGGGTCATCGGAGAAGCATCGAAGTTGGCACATACACAGAAAACATCTAATTACAGTCTGCTTTATAAAATACAGCCCTTGAATGATCCCAGGTATAACGAAAACCACGACTCACTTTATTAAACACTTCCTGGTAGCATGTTCCATATGTAAATGTTTATGTTTGGAAGTTTACACGACATGATGGGTGCCTGGAGACAGTGTAGTGAGTATAGTCTTCATTTTATTAATTAGGATCAAAAGTAGCGAAATATTATATTTATTGTATTGGAATGATGCAGCTAAAAACTGATCTATCAGTTACAGTATCTTGTATATTATAAACCACAACGAAATGTATATATCATGTAGTATATCACAACACCAACAGTCATCGGATATATGACATGTAATATTTTGTGTATTCTAACATCAAAAAGAGTCGTATAGATAACAGGTTATATTACATAACACCATAACAGTGTTGTATATTTCATTGGGTGGGATATATTATCATGGTATGTTATCCTATGAGCATTGTAGCCATTTTGTACCGTCCGTTGTTTCGTTTCTATCTACAGAATTATGTCCGTGGCGTCGGGCACTCCATGTGTACATGTTATACACGACATACATAGTTACCTGGTCTGCGACAGGCCGCGCTACTGTGATATCACCGACATCATCCGAACCCAACTACACTGCTGCAAGTTCTACATGGAGAGAAAACCCAAAGTTCACTTGTAAACCATCCTGTAACATACTCAATGTAACAGGTAAGTTTGTAACAAACTTTTCCTACAATTGAATGATATATCTCACATAAATGCCCAACAGTTAATAGTATACACCGTTAAATGTAAATATAGACCAGCAAATAAAATAGACAAAATACAAGTTGTTTTATTATTGACATAGCAAGCATTTACATGCAGGCAACAACATCAAAGTAACTTCAATAACATTACAACGTTATGGTTTAGTGGGTATCACAAAACCACATATTATATCATAACATTATATTATATCATTTCATGAAGCGCATTAACGCATATTATAAACAAGGACCAAACAACAAAATGGTTGTTAATGTTTATCACCACAGGCACGGTACATTAATGACCGAGTTGAGGGGTAATACAATGTGCTTTTTTAAAGAGTGAGCACTGTGTAATAAAAGCGTCTGAACAACAATGACAAATATACAAAAAAGTAGGGACAAGAGAAACCAAGTGATAGGGTATCCCCTTCTTACAAACAAGTCAAATTCCCTGTAATCAGTATACAATGTTTGAAGAAAATCGCACATTTACACTTCACAATATAACAAAAGATCCCAGAGGGATCTTGGCGCCCATCATTGTACCATCTTCATTAGTTCTATGTCAGTTCGATCTTTTCTCTTCTTTTCTCTTCTGTTCTCTTATCCATTTGATCAGTTTGCCTATCCGCCACCTCAATCAGTCTTTTTATCAACCTCAAAAGTTAACATGCACAACTCAGGACCAAGGAACACCTACATATCAAATTTGAGAACAGTTCCTTCAGTAAACTCTGAGAAATAGCGATAACAAACTTAAACTGTAATAAGATGGCAGGCGGATATGATTTGATTTGCATAACTAAGAACAAGAGGAACCCTTCTGTGAAATGTGAGAAAGATCCCTCAAACACTTTTTGAGCAATAGGGCTAAACAACTTTTACTCCCAAATTCAATGTGACCACCTGCCAGCCATCTTGGTTTTCCAATCATCCCCAAAATTCAAAATGCGGAACTAGGAACCATTGGGAACCTTCATATGAAATTTGAGAAAGAACCCTCTGAGATATATAACGCTGACAAACTTTCATTCTCAAATTCAAGATGTCCGTCTGTTGGCCATCTTGGTTTCCCTTCTGTCTCACAATTTAATATGCGTAACTAGGGACCATGGGAAACTTTCATGTACAATTTGAGAAAGACCCCTCCAGAACTTTCTGAAAAACAGCGCTAGCAAACATACTCTCAAATTCGAGATGGCTGCCTGTCGGCCATTTTGGTTTTGTGATCTGCCCAAAAAACGATATGCATAACTAGGGGGTCATGGTGAACGTTCGTGTGAAATTTGAGAACGATCCTTGCAATAAGTTCTTGGAAATAGCACTAACAAACTTTAACTCTCATTTTCACGATGGCTGTCTTTCGGCCGTCTTCGTTTTGTGATCAGTCTTAAAACACAATATGCAAAATCAGGATCATGGGAAACCTTCATGTGAAATTTGAGAAAGATCCCTCCAGTACTTTCTTAGGAAAAGCGCTAACAAACTTTAACTCTAAAATTCAAGATGGCTGCCTGTCGGCTATCTTGGTTTTGTGACAGGATATGCATAACAAAGGACGATGGGGAACCTATATGTGGGATTTGAGAAATACCCCTCCAATACTTTATGAGAAATAGCGCTAACAAACTTTCATTCTCAAATTCAAGATGGCTGGCTGTCGGCCCTCTTGGTGTTGCGATCAGTCCCAAAATAACGATATGCAAATATCATGATCATGAGGAACCATCACGTACGATTTGAGAAAGATTCCTCCAGTACATTCTGAAAAGTAGCGCTAACAAGAATTGTTTAAGGACGGACGGAATGACGGACAAACGGACCACGAACTGCGGACGCAGGGTGATTTAAATAGCCAACCATCTGATGATGGTGGGTTTAAAACACAGGTAAAATTTGTTACGCCAGTTTTGCGAGCCAAATCCATACGTCAATAAATTGGGAATAAACACAGTAATGCACAATGCCATGTCCTACACCCAATTCGGCTTCTTCTGGTCCCGTGCACTTACATGCTAAACTTACCTTTTTTCTTCAGCATGGACACACACACTGACCATGACGATTCAGGAAACTAAAGAATTTTTAAAGTAATAAACATGGACATTTTCGTCACATCAAGGAAAATATGTCCAAATGCTTTCAAGATACAAATACTTAGAGGGAGCCTTTCTTTTATCTACCATAAAGCTTTTTTTTTCTTTTCAGGTATGCAACAACAGGCGTGTAGGAGACAAAATAGCTACATTGGATTTTTTTCTTGCAGAAATGATTCAAGATGTAGATTCAAATGCAGCAGCGAAAATTTCAACACAACTGTTTCGCTAAATATGACTGCAGTTTGTGATACTGATGGTAAGAAATTTTGAATTAACATAACATAACTAAAATAATGAAAAATGATAATAATTTTACAACGGTCTTCATACTTGTTTCGATTAACTGATTCTGATAATATATTTCAACTGATTACTTTTGTAATGATTGTGTTAGATTTATGTGCTCTACGACAGGTAGGAAAAGCTAGACACATGTTGTTATGGTAATGCTCAACATACATGTAAGACTTAGTAGGCTATTGATATTTGTTTTGTATATATACGACAGCCAATCCGTTAATTTGTAGGTGTACTTTTATCTGCTGTTACATAACAGTATGTAGTCGTTTCATACCTTATCAGTCAGGTCAAAAATATTTTCCCGAGGAATTTGGATCCACCAAAAGAACTGCGGCCTCGGGATACAGTTCATCTGATGGGTCCCAACCCAAAGGGAAAATAAATGTTTACTTTATTTATTTTACAATAATTAGGAAACAAGTTATTTCAACAGATATCAGCGCGCAGGGGGTTTTAATGTGGGAGGAAACCGTAGTACCCGGAGAAAACCAACGTGGTCGGGCAGATGACCCCTTTTCTTTTCAGGTCCGATCGAGTAATCAAACCCCGGTCACCTTGTTAACCATTAGGGAAATAGAGGATTGTTGACTATGAAAACAATGAACAACATGCCCAATTGAACAACAACGAAATCAACATATATTATCAGTATACAGTCACAAGCCTTACCGCCCCTCTATATGTTATGTTTTACTGCTTACCGAGTACTGAGTCGCGGTTATAAATTAATTACAATTACACTTCGTCGCTAATGCCTTTAAAGCTTCTTATCATATAGGCCTAGATAGAAAAATTCGCGTGTGACGATTAGTAATTTTAGGAGGAAAACAGTCAAAACTGCTTGATACACAATCATTTAGAGAGTAAGGTAACGATCTGAACCAGTTGTTAATGTCGTATTTGTTATTTCTCACTTCAAATGTTTATGTTGACCATTAACTTGTCCGTGATGTGGGTTGTTTTGTATGTGTCATACTGCTAGCTGAATTATCATACTTCTAACTGATAGTGAACACACTGCATATCCATATGTATTTAGTTTCCTGATCATTGTGTTTTATTTAACGTAGAACGTGATTATACAAATGTAGTAAGCTCATGAAATACAATTTGTTATGATATGTAAACGTTGATGCAATATCGTAGCATACGACATACATTGTTATGCAAATATGATTTAGCATTATAAATTAATATTGCAGCTGGCCAGGAGGACAATTCATTGACGTGTTACCGGGTTAACCGCCAGTCACTTCAATTTGAGAAACCTGATTATTTGACCTGGTCAGATTTTTGTTCAAAAATGCAATTTGATGTCACATGCTATCTTGTAACCACCACCACGTGTTCTTCCGCCGACCAATGCTGTCGTTATTCGATACGGAATTGTACAAGTAAGTGCCTAAGCTACACTTACATCATACAAATTAAAACAAATTCATCCCAGCAGAGTTGAAATAAATGTCCCATTTTACATCATAGTGACGGGCAGAATATTTTGGTATGATATCATAATAAAAAATATCCTTATGTTTATTATTAGTGTTTATAACTACCACGACAACTGAAAGAACAACAACGCCTACCACGACAACTGAAAGAACAACAACGCCTACCACGTCGACAACAAGATCAACAATAGATAGCATTTTAGAGAAAGGTACATCAACGCCTAAAACGTCAACAACTGGTAAGTTTGCTTTTTTTAAGAAATGTATGTGTAACACGTAGAAAGCTAGCAACATAACACATGATTTCTTAGCAGGCCTACTTTCAGTCCGACAAAGTTTTCAGTTTGCTACCAATCATCTCCCCATACACATGGAAGTTCAGAAGCAGGAAGGTTATTACTTCACGAACATTATTCTGTTAATTGTGACCCACCCTGCAGTACTTACTGTTGAAGTAAAATGTGTCACACTTTCCAGTACAATTACTGTAAACTGAGAGCCACACTTCTATTGCTGTTGTAGTGAAATTTATCACAATACCAAGCACTGGTTTATGAAATGAGTGCCTGCACTCGAGAGAATATCAATGCATATAAGTATTTTGAAATATAAAATATGGTAATTAATCGATAGTGAAGCAGCTCTTACTGTATTTGTTCGTTATATAACTACTACATCACACCATAAGAAAAAAACTAATTGGTATGATGTGAAATCAATAAGTCACACTAAAAAGGGCATAAAAACAAAGAAATGTTGCTGATAAATTTTGATTTCTTATCTTCTAAGAGGGGTCATGACGAATATAAACAATATTTCAGGAATCAATAGCCCGGGCGTATTTACTTCCTCTGCCTCTACACAAACAGTTACTGAAGGAAGGTCTACAGCCAGTCAAACAGACTCTGACCATGTACCAACCATCACTGCTGTTGTGTCCTTGTTGGTTCTCTCGATTGTCGTAATCAGTATCATTGTTATTATTGTTCTCCGTCGGAATAGAAGGTAACATCACATCAAGAACAAAATGTCCATTTATTACGAAAATAATAACAGAAACTGTGCATACCAATATCAAAAACAGCAGTTTTTGAATCAGATTATACCACATTGCGAGCAAACACTTCATGACCATTTGTCGATGATTCCATAATTGAAAGTTTTGCTTTTACTTCTTATATCTACATTAAAGATTAAGAAAAAAAGATTAAGCCAAAGTCACAAGTCATATTTAGTTAATATTCGTAACTGTTTATTTTATACCAGAAGAAAGCCAGCAGAAAATCCAGAGTTTGTTATCAATAACACTGCTTATGGAGACGTTACACTACATCCCAAGGTACGACTCTCCATTACCATCTTTGTAGCATCAAGTCGATTACTTGAACAATTACACGGCTATTGTGCGTCGTGGATTATACTTGTTAATCAATTAATCGAATCATATATGTATATCGATAGCATTTATGTAATGGAATGAATCTAGTCACATATATATATATTGAATTTTTTTTTATATTTGTAAGTAAATAAATTTACTCATATATATATATCGATAAGACAACTTCGTGATCAGTTCCTGGGTATATGATAAACTTTTTTGGACAAAAATAATACACAGGGTATGTTTCTGTTAACTACTTTCCAGACACATCCGGGACCAGACAATCCTCAGAGTTCGAGGGGAGTTCCTGCCAAACCGGCCGCCGACGAGGAGCATACCTATTGTTACGCTTCTTTTGATGACAGGAAACAAACTGTTAACACTGAAAGTCAATACCCCAATGTGCAGGATCATATTAACGCTACGACGTCGCCCGACGGTAGCTACTTTGTTTTGGATAAGGGTAGCCCGAAACATGGATACAACTATAAAAAGGAACAAGCTATTGTGATGGAACATTTGGTCGAAAAGGAGACAGGTCACATGAAGAACAAACTGGACAATCCCAGTAACTATTTTGTTTTAGAGAAGCCAAACTCCATCTACGACACTAAGCGACAGGACACGGATGAGACTGCGAACTACTTTGTACTAGAGACGACACCAGACGAACATGAACCTGGTGTAAAACGAAACCACGAAGAAGAAATAACAGAAACAGACGACACTCGTTCAGGAAAAGTAGACGACAATTACTTTTTAGTTGACAAATCCGATGTTGGAACAACCGCAGATGACAGAGAGACTTCTAATGTATCTTCAAATCACTCAACAATTGAAAATCAAGACCACACTAGCAATGATAACTATTTCGTTCTAGATAAAATCACAGATGATTCAAAAGTTGTAAAACACATGGAGACTCACTGTGGTAATGGATTGCAAAACAGTGACAATACGGAGACTTGCGCGAAACCTAGAGCCAACGGCACGCCCACCACGACTGATGATCCCTACGACCACGTGAGGATAGGACACGCCCACACAAATGGGTTTGATGACGGAGTTTATGACGAATTAAGAAAACAACATGTCCGGTACGAAGCTGATGAAGTAGAAAATGACTACGACCATTGTTAGACAAATAGACATTAGCTTTAATCACTGTAAGTGCTGTATAGAATGATTACCATTGTTGATGAAGTAGAAAATGACTACGACCATTGTTAGACAAATAGACGTTGGCTTTATTCACTGTAAATGTTGTATAGAATGATAACCATTGTTGATGCAGTAGAAAATGACTGTTTGTCACTGTTTGTAAAGGAGTCTACAATCATTTAAGGGATGTAGAGGAACATTAATCAGCATTCACAGTCATTTTGTATGTCAAAATAGTAAATACATGAGGACACCTATAAAATGTATTATTATTTTTTCATATTATTCCCAACAAGTGATTGGCCAGGAGTGCATCACGTGTCCACCGATAAAAACCGATATTGACTTGGAGTGCGTGATTTTGTTGAAGGACTGGGTGTTTCTAAAAATAGAATTATGACGTGTCTCCAAACAATGCATCGTCCCGCTTCCGAAGGTTTTTTTTGTTTTTTTTCAGATTGCTTACATCAATGTTATGAAAATAATAAAACAATTGTAGCCTTTCACTTCTTTCGATACCTGGATTTATCGACCCGAGAAAAGGCATATTGGACGAGGACGCAGTCCGGGGTCAATATATCGTTTCTCGGGTCGATAAATCCAGGTATCGACCTCAGCCAAAGGCTATAATTGAATAATATTTGTTGCTTGATATGTAGTTTCATTCTTTTATGAATAATAAATTTGAAATTTTAATCGGTTACTTTACGAATAAATAATGTACATAAAAACCTTTTTTTAAATAATTTATTTTTATTATCATGTATGTAGGCTTGATTTGTATAATTCTATCATGTATGTAGGTTTGTCATTACGTCTTACTAATAAATGATAAAGGTATGTATTACGTTTACCTGTATACAATGCATTGGATCAAATATTAAGGAAATAAAACAATACAGTCGTAAACAATATAAAGAAAACCTCGTTAAATTGTTTTTCATTTATCAAGCGAAAATTTGTCAAATAAGTCGAATACAATAATTGTATGGGACCTTTAGTGTTCGTTTATCGTAAGTAAGGTGGTAAATAGGGGACACAATATCCGGATACGCCCACATATTTAGAACGTCGAACATGTTCAGTGAAACATTCATCTGCCGAAATACCCTTGTAGGTTGATCCTCACGTCTAGGATACATTTGACACAATATTTGAACCTGTGGCCTAAATCGATAAATATTTACTTTGTCGTTCACAAGTTGAAAGTGTAGACTCAAGCAGCAAACCATATTTTCTTTAAAACATTACATAGATAAATAAATTACCTAGGTGCTTACAATACAATATACATAGTGAACAATACCAACCATAGGCACAGTCGCTTAACTTGGTAGTTATAGAGACTTAGGTAGAATGTTATTACAGTATGTAAATGTCGACAACATTTCTGATCACTTACAAGCAAGATCACGTTTATTTTTGCTTTCATAGCCTTATAAATATCTCACCTCGTTGGAATAAACACCTTGAAACATGCATTGATGTATGATATCTGTTTTTAAATGATACAAAAAATATGCATTGGGCCAAATAGACCAATTACTGTTATTATTTACATCACTTGTCGATTACATGATCTCATTAGTAATGTGAAAATACCGCATGTTAACTGTAACATTAGATAGATGATCAATGATGTGGGCCAAAATCTAATTTCTGAAAAATTTAATGTATGTTTCCAGAGGACGTGATTAATATTGTATCGCTGAGTTAAGTATAAATATATATACCAAAGAGTCAACTTAAAGGATAGAAATGGAACACAAAGACAATAATAAAAGACAGCAACAGGAACCGAACCGACATCAAAATACAAGGGGATGTCAGTTGTGATAACCACTATATGTCTCTCCGACATATATCGTCAACAGAACACGAGGTGAATACCGAAATACATTTCATTGAAATCTTAAAGAATTTAAAATACGATCGCGATGACGTGTATGTTTTGTAAGACCTTTAATAATACGTACAATATCGTAATAGGAGCGAGAAAAGAAACGGGTAAAAATAAACACCCCAACAGGAAGTAAACTCAGCTGTATAATCCTTTAAAGCTTCTTAACTTAATAACGCATTACAATAAAATTTGAATTTATTTTCATAACATATACCACATAACTATTATATCTGGAAAAAATGCATTTAAATGATCATTTAAAGATAATCTACACAAACCGTATTTCTATATGTACTTTTAAAACCAAAAAATGTCATAAAAGTGACGAAGCTTGATAATCTGGAGACAGGATTAAAGTGACGAAGCTTGATAATCTGGAGACAGGATTAAAGTGACGAAGCTTGATAATCTAGAACAGGATTAAAGTGACGAAGCTTGATAATCTGGAGACAGGATTTAGGTGATGAAGCTTGATAATCTGGAGACAGGATTAAAGTGACGAAGCTTGATAATCTGGAGACAGGATTTAAGTGACGAAGCTTGATAATCTGGCGACAGGATTTAAGTGACGAAGCTTGATAATCTGGAGACAGGATTAAAGTGACGAAGTTTGATAATCTGGAGACAGGATTACAACTACAATTACAATGATATTACAATAACACAAAAGTAATATTATAACACAATGATATTACAATAACACAAAAATAATATTATAACACAATGACATTACAATAAAACAAGAGTAATATTATAACACAATGATATTACAATAACACAAAAGTAATATTATAACACAATGACATTACAATAACACAAAAGTGATATTATAACACAATGATATTACAATAACACAAAAGTAATATTATAATACAATGATATTACAATAACACAAAAGTAAAATTATAACACAATGATATTACAATAACGCAAGAGTAATATTATAACACAATGATATTATAATAACACAAGAGTAATATTATAACACAATGACATTACAATAACACAAAAGTAATATTATAACACAATGACATTACAATAACACAAAGTAATATTATAACACAATGACATTACAATAACACAAGAGTAATATTATAACACAATGACATTAAAATAACCAAAAAAATGTAATATTATAACACAATGATATTACAATAACACAAAAATAATATTATAACACAATGATATAACAATAACACAAAAGTAATATTATAATACAATGACATTACAATAACACAAAGGAATATTATAACACAATGACATTACAATAACACAAGAGTAATATTATAACAAAATGACATTACAATAACACAAGAGTAATATTATAACACAATGATATTACAATAACACAAGAGTAATATTATAACACAATGACATTAAAATAACAAAAAAGTAATATTATAACACAATGATATTACAATAACACAAAAGTGATATTATAACACAATGATATTACAATAACACAAAAGTAAAATTATAACACAATGATATTACAATAACACAAGTGTAATATTATAACACAATGACATTAAAATAACCAAAAAAATGTAATATTATAACACAATGATATTACAATAACACAAAAATAATATTATAACACAATGATATAACAATAACACAAAAGTAATATTATAACATAATGATATTACAATAACACAAAAGTGATATTATAACACAATGACATTACAATAACACAAAAGTGATATTATAACACAATGATATTACAATAACACAAAAGTGATATTATAACACAATGATATTACAATAACACAAAAACAAAATTTGGTTTATATAACAAGGTTCAGCAAAGGACATATATGACAGATCACATCATATAAACACCGAGTGGGTCGTGCGTCAAAACAATGCTTAAATAAAACCTAAGAAGATGTGGTATCTATTATTGTAATACTGTAGTAAATAGTCCTTTTCTTCATATCCTCCCATTTCTTAGTCAATTCAATTGACTAATTTATATTTTTCAAAATTTTTTGTGTTAATTACCGGCTAAATGATAAGCTCATTAAATTCCAGTTGAACCTATATAAATATGTTCTAGTTGTCTGTCTAACACTTCCTGATTGTGTTTCGCCATTGATAGTCATAGCCTTTTACTAAACATTTCCGTCTGGCTGATTAGTATGAATGGTAGAAAAGTTACGTATCACAACCACTACTTACTGGCTGTGATACATCACCTTTCTACAAATGTCATAGCCAGTTTTATAGGTAGGTCTTTACTGGTTGTGATACATCACCTTTCTACCAATGTCATAGCCAGTTTTATAGGTAGGTCCTTACTGGTTGTGATACATAACCTTTCTACCAATGTCATAGCCTGTTTTATAGGTAGGTCTTTACTGGTTGTGATACATAACCTTTCTACCAATGTCATAGCCTGTTTTATAGATAGGTCCTTACTGGTTGTGATACATCACCTTTCTACAAATGTCATAACCTGTTTTATAGATAGGTCCTTACTGGTTGCGATACATAACCTTTCTACAAATGTCATAGCCAGTTTTATAGGTAGGTCTTTACTGGTTGTGATACATCACCTTTCTACAAATGTCATAGCCTGTTTTATAGATAGGTCCTTACTGGTTGTGATACATCACCTTTCTACAAATGTCATAAGCTGTTTTATAGATAGGTCCTTACTGGTTGTGATACATAACCTTTCAACAAATGTCATAACCTGTTTTATAGATAGGTCCTTACTGGTTGTGATACATAACCCCTCCACCAATGTCATAGCCTGTTTTATAGGTAGGTCCTTACTGTTTGTGATACATCACCTTTCTACAAATGTCATAACCTGTTTTATAGATAGGTCCTAACTGGTTGTGATACATCACCTTTCTACAAATGTCATAGCCTGTTTTATAGGTAAGTCCTTACTGGTTGCGGTACATAACATTTCTACTAATGTCATAACCTGTTTTATAGGTCTTTACTGGTTGTGACATATAACCTCTTTACCAATGTCATAGCCTTTTTTATAGGTAAGTCTTTACTGGTTGTGGTACAAACCTGTTTTATAGGTAGGTCCTAACTGGTTGTGACATATAACCCCTTTACTAATGTCGTAGCCTGTTTTATAGGTAGGTCCTAACTGGTTGTGACATATAACCCCTTTACCAATGTCATAGCCTGTTTTATAGGTAGGTCCTTACTGGTTGTGATACATAACTTTTCTACCAATGTCATAGCCTGTTTTATAGGTAGGTCTTTACTGGTTGTGATACATATTGGTAGTACTTTAGGTTTAACATCCTCACAACAGTTTAGGCCATTTGATGGCAGGTTCCTTGGGATACAACACCGAAATTGTAAGATAAGTAAGATTATTAAGATTTGTAAGACAAAGACAACCATATTCTGTAGAGGCCTCCACACAGGTCGTCTCTTACAACAGGCATAGGGATACAAATGGTCTATTCTTTCTCCGAACAGTAAGTAGTCTTGATGACATAGACTGTTTTATAGCTAGGTTAGTTAAATAGTCGTCATGTTATAGGCCGTTTCATATGTAATTCTTATCATTTTCTCTCAACTGGATTCTCTTTCTAGGGCCCTGTTGATTATCTCTGGAATACTACATATATATGTACAGCTGTACTACTCTCGACTTAAAGGTGTCCCCGACAATGCACGAAACATTAAACTTTCTAGAACACAACCTTTTTCTGACTACTTAATGTTTTTACTTGGTTTTTTTTACAAGATACTACACATATGCTTCCTTACTGTGTCCTGTATATCTGCTTTCCAAGTTACATACTAAAAATACTAGTAGAATATATTTTCAACAAACAAATCCTGGACATAATTAGACTAAGAACTTTATTTTTCATGTATTTATTTTTACTATTTTGTGGTCAGTCAGGCTGTTCCAGGATGTGAATAGTAGATCTTTATCCCATGTGAACAACACTAATTAAGGAACTTTCATCTTTTGCAAGACTTTCATTTGCTTGTTTAATGTCTTCTGTCAAATTGGTTTTATTTTTGTTAATAACATTTTCACTTTTTCTCATTCCCTCAATTTGTATGTCTTCGTCATATTTTTCACTGTGATTGTCATTTCCTGCACATCTGTCTTCACTTTCTGTATATTTAACAACAAGTTTATTTCCATCATCACTCTGTGTGTTTTCATCACCACTTTTTGTGCTTTCATCACCAATTTTTGAGTTTTCATCATCACTTTCTGTGCTTTCATCATCAGTTTCTGTGCTTTCATCATCAGTTTCTGTGCTTTCACTACTACTGGATTCTGAGTCTGTGCTGTCATCGTCACTATCCTTGGTGTTATTACTGGTAGAGAGGAGAACACCTTTGTGGGGGTGTAAGCTGATCTGTGACACACTTTCTGTGATGACATCCACATTACTGTCATTTTCCTCGCCAGCTTCTGCTTCAAGTGTACACAAATTTAATCCAACCGTGTCTTTTTTTACTGACATCTGAATGGAAAAAAGGGAGATAATTGCTTTCACATTCTGTGGTTAACTGGTCTGTAAAATATATAGTGTAATCACTAATTCATACCACAATACCTGTATTTTATATTTTCTTCCCACAAGTTGATATTATCAAACTTAGGGATAAAAAATGAAAGGTATATCTACAAAATAAAGATATTCTTCCAACATAACTGTCAAAAAGCTTCCCCACCGTAACTTTCAAAGAGAGATATTCACGATTTTGAATGTGTTTTCAAATAATAAATGGTGGGTATTGTCTGATAGGACGAAACATTACATGTGAGGCATAAAAAGTCTATGATGAATAATATTTGTATAATTTTGGTAGCATATTTACCAGTTTATATGCAGTTATCAACTGAATGACAACGACAAATGTGCTTTTTAAGTTTTCTAAACAATCTTACAAGATTAATATGTGTCTTTTTAAGTTTTCTAAACAGTCTAACTGTACATCTGTTTTTCAATGATAAAAATAACACTTGTAAAAATGTATGTCTACAAAAGAATCATTATGGGAGTTTGTTTATATTACACAACTAATCACTGTGCAAAGTCTTAAACACAATCAAAAACACATCTAAAGATAACCTTCATGATAGTCAAAGAACTAAGTGATACTCAAAACAAGATTGAATTATGCATTTTATTGTTCAAATAGTATAAACAGAAAGTTTAATGGTTTCCTATTTATAATTACATATTTGAGTACAGGGGGAACCATGCAGTCTTCAGGGTACTCCATTAGTGAAGGAATCAAACAATTATTTATATTAACAATAACTAAGATTTTGAACTTGCTTTTTTGTAGCAATCCAAGACGTGCTTGTTCTATTGAACAACAATAAGTGTATGAAGTATGAAGGCTACAGGTTCATGAGAACATAGTTATTGTGTTGAACGTTTGAGAGATAGACAAGGAAGTTACAGGATACGATATTTGTTTGTTTAGAATGGTCACTGTTAGTTCTGAAGTTTTATTGTCTATTTTCAAGGCTTTGATCTTACCATGGATAAGGCCTCTGTCAGGGAAGCAAGTCTTTTATCACTGAAACATACAAAACAATAAGAAAGAGTATCACTAACATGTAATACAATACTTAACAGTACAATTGAATCCTTAGACTTAGCTATATGAGTGATGAACAGAATGTTATCCTTCTGCGAAGGTACGAGGGGTGATATCTCTTGATTGTCTAAACCAAGGCTTGCTTGGGTTAGACCTTCAAGGAACTCACTTCAAAATTAGTATGAAAACAATGTCCATCAATGTTTGTAGCCTGTTCAAATGATCCTGATTTGTACATGATCTCTCCTGTCGAAAGCTGATTGTAAAATCACATTTTGCTGATGTCATAGCATGTGATACCTGTCATACTCTCAGAGGTGACAAAGAAATCATACCCTAGGGGTGAAAGTAGAATCTTGAACAGGCCGTAAAAGGTGAGATAATTAGGTGAATTTTGGGGAGACAACATTATTTCTGGTATTTGCATACAGAGACTGAGAACTATTTATATGTAAATACATACAGGATAAAGGTGTATAACTTACCTGGCAGTCTGTATCTTCGTGTTTTGTTTTATTTATATGTAAATACATATAGGATATAGGTGTACAACTTACCGGGCAGTCTGTATCTTCGTGTTTTGTTTTTTTTATATTTAAATACATATAGGATATAGGTGTACAACTTACCGGGCAGTCTGTATCTTCGTGTTTTGTTTTATTTATATGTAAATTCATATAGGATATAGGTGTACAACTTACCGGGCAGTCTGTATCTTCGTGTTTTGTTTTATTTATATGTAAATACATGTATGATATAGGTGGATAACTTACCTGGCAGTCTGTATCTTCGTGTTTTGTTTTATTTATATGTAAATACATGTATGATATAGGTGTATAACTTACCTGGCAGTCTGTATCCACACACAGTAGTCGGTGATGTACAGGTCATTGAGGATATAATAAGGATAGCTATGGGCTAGGATATCCCTCATCTCGAGTAGACACTTCAACACACCTGTTTTACCTGTAACAACAAACAGTGTGATGTCTAGAAGTGACTTAATGGTTTCCGGTTAGTACCAGATATATGTTTCCAAAGTATACTGAATACCAACATTTTTTTACAAGTGCAAAGCACAATTAAGATATATATATATTGCTATACTACTGTTATTTTTCTATACAAGAGAAGCATATAAGTCACATTCACTAAGGGAAGCATTTTTTTTTTTATTAAATTTATTATATTTAATATACTGTCACCTCATCTGCATAGAAAATCTGTGGCTTTGAATGGAGTAAATAGAGGGCACCATTCTAAACAAAAGCGATATCTTCATTTTCTTCAAATCCTATTTTAGATTCACAAATAGGCAGTCAATGGAAATTCAGTCTGCTGTTATACATTGTATACCTACAAGGGATTTCCTTTATAAACTGTACAATATTTCCTGCTGTAGTTTTAAGTGACAGGGAACTAAATATGTTATACAAGCTGAAACAGTATGTATCAAATTAGTTTTGTGAAGTTCAAATATTATGATTTTTTTTCAAAATCAAAGTCCAATTTTTTCTATTATCATTAACATTATCAATACAATGTTTAACCGTGATAAAATATTCATCATAGCAATGCCTTGGCTGTGAAACTTCTCACCAACTGTTGGTCCTACTCACCTAATTGAAGGATCTGACAGGTATCTGTGAGAACCTTGTTGGAGAAGGCCCACTGCCGGTACAGGGGGTAGCACAGACTTCGCCGCAGCGAGCTCACCACCACATCTTCCAGGGAGTGGAACACCTACAATATATATATATTTTGGTTGTGCAAGTGCATAGCAGATTATCATATGGTGTGCTGAGTGTACCACTAAGTATCTAAGAGGAAGTAGAATACATTGTATCTACAGTGAGTAAATATACAAGAGGTCCACATGGCCTGTATCAGTTACCTAGAAACAGAAACGGGAGTTGGTAGAAATATTGTGGATCCGAGTCATATTAAATATTACTCCTTGGATGTTGAATGTTGATTAAGGTCATGTTTTTGAACAACTTGGTGGTCCTTCACCTCTGCATGCTACAGGGTAAGTACATGTATCATTACTTAAGGAGTTCTTTAGATGGATTTGTTTAAAAGACAGAAATCACCAATAGATGACACGCCATGTGACAGCTAGCTAACAGTAGTGTTGGGAATCTTTGTTTACGTTAACAAACAAACGATCAATGAATGAACGTTTCAAAGAAATACATTGTAAAATCCTTCACACTTTTGTTGGGAGTCACTCACGCAAATAAAAAACGATACTGTGTAAGAATTACATCCCTACAAACTCTGAATCTGTGATTTATAGGCTTAACCCATTCAACCCTATGTAACTTTAGTAGACTCTACCATGAATTGATCTGGATGAGTCCATTATGGTATACAGTGGTGAAAGGGTTAAGTGGCTATGAACATGCTTGAAAGTAAAAGTAAGTTAATGATGAGGCCAAAATAAAAGAAGTAAATATCAGGAGACTTCTGCGACTTAACTCTTATAAGGATCTATTGAGGAATCAGGCTTGAAACAATGAATTACTCTATTGAAAACTCCACAATATTTACACATAGGCCTATTTATTCCGACTAAACTTGATCATGAACTCTGTAGACAATTAATCAGTCAATTAATCAGTTCAATTAATCAGTTTATAGGCCTAACTGACCAATATAATTAATCAGTTTATAGGCCTAACTGACCAATATAATTCATCAGTTTATAGGCCTAACTGACCAATAGTTGACAAAATCAATTAATGTAGACAATTAATCAGTCAATTAATCAGTTTATAGGCCTTACTGACCAATAGTTGACAAAATCAATGTAGACAATTAATCAGTCAATTAATCAGTTTATAGGCCTAACTGACCAATTGTTGACAAAATCAATTAATCGGGACACCACTAGCTAGGCCAGCAACTAATCTGAGTTTTTTGGTTTTAGGAAATGTTTCCAACATATATTTGTAATTTACAATTTGTTTCACTGAAGCAGACTTCTGACGTAAAATTGATCTCGCTCCCAACAAAACATAAATCAGGTTTCAATGCCCCATTTTACTAAGATCTAAGTTAAGAAAGTCACTTACATCTAGCCATGATAACGTGGCACTCAGGTTACAGACAGTCCAGGCTGACTCCACCTGAAGCAGAAAGGGATTGTACAGATATCTCTTTTTTTTTTTTTTTTAATTACAAACAGCATGAATTTATTATATACAGGCTTGAAATTACCTACGCGTCTAATTTTTACTAAACATCTATTTCAAAATACTTCCACAACATAAAAAATTAAGAGTTATTACCCTTAGCAATGACTTACATTGTCGTCGCCCTCTGTAGCGCGGTGGTTGTAGGCGTAGGCAAACAAAAGATCCACCAGGCCAAGGTACACACCTATCAGCTGTTTCTCCTCCAATAGATCTCACAAAGTCAAGGTTCAAATGTGGAGGTCAAATAGGGTATTTCTCATTACATGGGATAAACAAGGAAGACAGGCAATTATTGATAACAGTTGAGTACAACAAAAAGATCAAACAGCAAGTAAAGTCTGTGTTTCAGTCCACTCTACTTTGGTGTTATATACATTTTATACATGTATTTCAAATGACGATGAGGGAGTGAGCAGCAGATATTCCTTCTGATTTAAAATGGAAATATATCCACTATCCTGTCATCCACTCTAAATGAGATCAGCTGTACACCACTTCACTTGATTTTTAAATTAATTTATGAAATATATATAATACAACGAACAACGTACTTGTCAAAATCATGGTACATTTGTAAGTCTATAGATACACAATCCTGACATGAAGATAAACTAGTGAGATATAATGACAAGGATACATTCCTCATGGTACATTTATAAGTCTATAGATACACAATCCCGACATGAAGATAAACTAGTGAGATATAATGACAAGGATACATTCCTTTTTTGGCAGGTTTCTCATCTTCTCTTTTTCAGAATCGGTGAATTTTACTGAAAAGCAAATAAATACAAGCCATTCAGATCTAGATGAATATGTCTCGCCTATGCCCCGCTTTGACCATCAATGTACATATCAGAGAAACTAACCTAAACGCAAAAACTTAATGTTAATGATGCTGACAAAGTCAATGGTCCATGAAAGGTAGGCTGCATCCAGCATTTGATGCATGGGTTGAGATAAACTACCTAAGATACATCTATAGTCCAAGAGTGGTTGGTCTAGCATTTATATATACTTTCAGTGAAACTAACTTAAACGCAAAAACTTAATGCTGACGCAGCTGCTGGAAATTCCACACCTTAGTCTCGTTTCCGCTACTTAGTTTCGACGAGACAAAAACTTTATATTAGAACTAGAAAAGTGCAAGGAATCGCATGAAAATAACATGTAAGAGGTGAAACAGTTTAAGTTCCTATAAACATCAAACTGAAACAATAAAGTTTCCTGTTGTTGGAAACATACATTATGTTTTCCAGTCTGAAAATAAAGTTCTACGATGACATTACTCCACATTTAATCCAATGATTCAGTAACCAAACCAGGTCTATAGTTTATAATGAACTCGCTTGTTCTTTCAGTCATTTTCATAAACTCAACAATCTGTAGAAGTCTTATGAATGAATATATATATTTGTTGTTTTTTCGTCAGAATTTTTAAGAAGAATAATCAATAAAATTTACTTTACAATAGTATATCATATGCACCAACAATATCATAATTCTCTTCAAAAAAACAAACCGTCATTTTGTTAGTTTTGGGAAATTAGGCAACCGACGTAATTTTATGTTAAATACAACAAACCACCAATAGAATTGAATTTTGTAGAAAAACTCCTAAAATGTATACACATTACATTAACTGCTGTCCTTTTCATTCAAAGTAGCTCTTTGACTGGAGATGGCCCTACAAAGTGAAAGTTTGTATAACCAGTTAACTTGGCTACAATTATTACCTTGCTCCAGAGACTTCAGCTGTTTTTCCCATGGTGCTCTATAACTAATGAGATCTTGTATGCCATCATCTTCATACAAATCTGCTCTGTTTGAATAAATATAGCAAATGAAAATTACAGCAAACGTAACTTCTACCAAACAATCCTAACACTATACATGTAATAAACAAACACTTTTACATTTTAATGGATTTGAGAATCAAAGTTTGTCACATTTCAAGTATACTTACAAGTAACTTTGACTCAAATACAGTATCAATTCTTTGGAAGTCTTACTAGTATAACTTCAGCTTCTATAAAGTGGGCATCGGATCACACCGAGGTAAATAAACTAACCTACCCTGCCTACGGCACACATGAACACATGCACAACACACATGGAGACATCCTTAAATGACCTGGGCTGTTAATAGGACAAACCGTAACAACCAACCAATCTAAGACACAATGAAACACTCACCACTTTTACTGACCAAATTTTCAATCACACCTTAACATGTTTTGACAACATTTTTACATGCAATACAAATTGTTTGATATCTTTGTTTGGGGAAGAATTTTCAACATGCAATTTTAGGTGCATAAATAGTAGAGTTTAACTGGAAACAGAAATACCAGGCCTTACAAGTAATAGTCTGGGTCAAATTTGTCCTCCTCTGACTGCGCACGTTTCTCTCTCCGTTCAGTCAGGCCACATCCATCTGGGTCCGGGAGACTGACCACTTCAAGTATGTCTTCCTGTGCAGGTAAAATTGTACAAAACATATACATCAAGGTAGGAAAAATTCTATATATATACTTAGCTAAAGGTCCTTCTGTCTGGGTAAAAATCTACATAGATCGAAGTAAACGTCTTCTTTTCCAGGCGTATATATATATGTACTGGTACATGTATACTATCACAATATACACTATGTTTTAATAACGCACATTTTTAACATTATAAGAAGAATTCATCATGGTAAATCATATCTTCTAAGCTAACTTGGTAATATCAAAGGCTTATACATAATTTTGTAAATTAATTACAACTTTACCTATTTTTGCAGTTAAAAAAAAGGTATATCATAATTTGTATTTGTAAGGTAAATACTACTTGAGGTTCATGATGTATTGTATCTGTAAAAAATAAATTGTTTTCATGGTTTATAAATATTATGTAGGTTTATTTTGGTATTCACAAGTAAAATACTAATATTAAAGTTTACTGTATGTTTTGTTTCAAAGATAGATACTAATAAACATTTATACCAAACCAAAGGAATCCCCAGAGAGAAGGCTAAAACCTACCTGAAGTCGTTTAAATACACCACATCTTGTGTTAGCAAAGCCATATGTTGGAGCATCCAGAGGTATATTTTCCTCAACATAAACTTTCTGATGTATGTGCCAATCAAAATCTTCATCTATCTCCAGATCTGTGCCCTCGGGGTTAGGAGCCTCATTGGCTGAATCTGGTACAAATATACAGCCACAACTCATAACAAGAGTTTAACTACAATACAGTGAAGCGTTAGTTGTTAGCTTATTTAGCTAGACGCCACTAATCCAGCTGTGTCAATGTCCAATCAGTTTAATGTACCAGCTTGTCTCAGCACAGATTCTCAAGCTTCGAAGAAAGGTGGCTGAATTTTCAAGGCTCAAATTTGTATTGTACACCAATAAGTGAGTGAAATGCCCCCAAAATGGAAATTATGAGGAATGTATGTTTTATCTTACAGAACAGGAGTAAAATACATTATTTTAGGTAAAATGGGGAAAAGTAAAGTCTTTTAAAAATGTGACGTTGTGGCAGACGACATCACCCTCTACAATTATGCCCCAAGAATTACCGGATGCAACTAATCTGTTCTCTTATATAGTGCTTTTGAGTTATCTCCCTTCTTTATAATTTCTGTGTAGAATCAACCTGTTTTGGAGGACATACTAGTACTTTGCAAGACACACACTTTTTAAACAAACTTTAAATGGTTTAAGGTAAATTTTCTGCCAAACTAAATTCTATATTTAACTTAAGTGCTATGTATGATGAAGTTCTTATTAGTGAAAAATGATCTGATGTTTATGTTTGTAGTTCTACATGAGCTAGAAAATCAGTCAATCTTTTAATAAGTGCTACTTACCCAGCACCTGTATGAGGGGAGACTCGGCTGAGGTTTGACCTTTTGGGGTCAATATCTTGGTGAGCATATCCAGACCCTCAAACACCTCACCTTCTGTTGCCTTGGGAATCTTGATGGTGAAACTACCTGTAGTATATACAAAAGGTATGGATCAATACAAAACGCTAGATCAATATGGTGCAATACTGGATTTATCTAAGAGTATTCTACTCTTATCACTACCCCCACGCTGTTGTACAAGGCTATATATATGTAGAGGTATTTATTTTATTAAAAGTCAAGAACCTATTATATCGACTCTATTGAGTTAATTCGAAATTGAAAGGATCATATCATTATAAGTCCAAACAGAAGCTTTTAGACCACCAGATAAAACCAGTTACTTATATTATATATCACAAACATACATTAGAGTTTCCCCTGCTATTTCACCTTAAAAGTCATTTTCTAAATTAAATCTTGACATGCCTAACATCTAGAAAACTATTTACTACTGCTATACAAAAGTTGGACACGGTAAGCTCTTATAATTAATGAGTGGCATTTTACACCAATTACATATGCTACATGTAATACACAGTACTGGTGAGACACATACAGCACCGGTGAGACACATACAGTACTGGTGAGACACATACAGTACTGGTGAGACACATATAATACTGGTGAGACACATACAATACTGGTGAGACACATACAGTACTGGTAAGAAACATACAGTACTGGTGAGACACATACAATACTGGTGAGACACATACAGTACTGGTGAGACACATATACAGTATACAGTACTGGTGAGACACATACAGTACTGATGAGACACCTACAGTACTGGTGAGACACATACAGTACTGGTAAGACACATACAGTACTGGTGAGACACATACAATCCTGGTGAGACACATACAGTACTGGTGAGACACCTACAGTACTGGTGAGACACAGACAGTACTGGTGAGACACATACAGTACTGGTGAAACACATATACAGTATACAGTACTGGTGAGACACATACAGTACTGGTGAAACACATATACAGTATACAGTACTGGTGAGACACATAAAGTACTGGTGAGACACATACAGTACTGGTGAGATACATACAGTACTGGTGAGACACATATAATACTGGTGAGACACATACAGTACTGGTGAGACACATAAAGTACTGGTGAGACACATACAGTACTGGTGAGATACATACAGTACTGGTGAGACACATATAATACTGGTGATACACATACAATACTGGTGAGACACATACAGTACTGGTGGGACACATACAATACTGGTGAGACACATACAGTACTGGCAAGAAACATACAGTACTGGTGAGACACATACAATACTGTGAGACACATACAGTACTGGTGAGACACATATACAGTATACAGTACTGGTGAGACACATACAGTACTGATGAGACACCTACAGTACTGGTGAGACACATACAGTACTGGTGAAACACATATACAGTATACAGTACTGGTGAGACACATACAGTACTGGAGAGACACCTACAGTACTGGTGAGACACATACAGTACTGGTAAGACACATACAGTACTGGTGAGACACATACAATACTGGGGAGACACATACAGTACTGGTGAGACACATACAGGACTGGTGAGACACATACAATACTGGTGAGACACATAGAATACTGGTGAGACACATACAGTACTGGTGAGACACCTACAGTACTGGTGAGACACAGACAGTACTGGTGAGACACATACAGTACTGGTGAGATACATACAGTACTGGTGAGACACATATAATACTGGTGATACACATACAATACTGGTGAGACACATACAGTACTGGTGGGACACATACAATACTGGTGAGACACATACAGTACTGGCAAGAAACATACAGTACTGGTGAGACACATACAATACTGTGAGACACATACAGTACTGGTGAGACACATATACAGTATACAGTGCTGGTGAGACACATACAGTACTGGTGAGACACATACAATCCTGGTGAGACATATACAGTACTGGTGAAACACATACAGTACTGGTGAGACACATACAATACTGTGAGACACATACAGTACTGGTGAGACACATATAATACTGGTTAGACACATACAATACTGGTGAGACACATACAGTACTGGTGAGACACCTACAGTACACGTGAGACACATACAGTACACGTGAGACATACCATCGTCTGTGTTGTATTTAGCACTCTCTCTGCCGTCCTCTTCTACCTTTCCTGGCAGATTCAGTCTAGAAAACAGAAATCATACCCAAATTACTTCATATCATACTGAAATATGTGTAGCAATGTTTATGAAGAGACTGATCTGTAACAAAACTATATCAATGTTGTAAAGATCTGGTATATTTTGGGCGAGTGACAAAATCATTGTTTAAATTATAAGCTATCAATGAAACAAAAACACAATCTAAGACAAGCAGACAAATCAAAGTACATTGGTGTCTACATATGGTTCAGTGATATTTTACAATACAGACAATGTTATTTCGCAAATATTTTTAAGCAACCTGCTTTCAAAATGGTTTACATTCCAATATGATAATATATATGTAGCATATTAAAACATTGTATACCTTACCTAAGGAAGTATGGCTTTGAAAAAAATCGAACTTCTTCATCCTCAATGAAAATTTCAGTATCAGAAACCTGTGATACAAAAAAACAGAAACAAAAATAAAACATGGAAGTACTATGAAAGTTACATTTAATCTAAAACTAATAGGAATTTAATATTAAATATTTCTGTTTGATTCAATGTAGAACCAAATAATTTCAACATATTATATGAGTTATTATACTCAAATATAAATAATAATCTCTAAAATGTTCTTCATTGGAGATTAAAAGTTAATCTAGAAATTCCTGAAAATGGATTTTAATGCATTTCAAGTTAACTAAAAAATTTGAAGTCATGCTAGCAAAACTTTCACAAACCTTTCAGAATCACCAGCTAACTAAAGGCAACATAGGTTATAGATACAGATACCCATGCATTTTCCTGGTCTCTAGAAAACACGTTAGTGATCTTACAATTTTTTATTGTGATTGTGTCTTACCTTTGCATATGGCGCTTTGACAATGATAGTTAGATATGTTTTATCCTGAAGAAGTTCAAAGGCAGGCGTCAACATTATCCTTCTGTTTTCCCAGCTAGATACTGCAGTGATTTGACCAATTCAGTACAATTCTTCCAGTATTAGTTTACTTGAACATGACACTGATAACTGAAACAAAATGAAATGACAACTTGATTAAATATGTAAACATAACTCCATGCAAAATACTAGTCCAAGAACGATTTACACAGTGCAATATGGTACATTTATCAAAGAAACAAGCATTACAGAGACTCACTTAGCTAAACTGGCATCCTGTCAGGCTTTTGGGTGTCACAGAGTCCTTGTTATATTATCTTGGTCGGGGAAAACCACTAACTTGCGTATACGGTAATATGCAAACTCGCCTATAATATACGCCATGAATTTGTTATTAAAAATATCCAAAAAAAGTTTAATCTTAACTTTTTCAAATTGTTTGTCCAAGTCACATTTATTCAGCCATGAAACATAATACAAATGCAAAAATGAACTTTATTAGCATGTGGGAAAGTACCAAAAATAGATACAATATTTCCGGTAAAGTTGCATCAAGTTTCTAAGTATACATTAATGCTTTCAGTATTCATCTTTTAGCAAAATATTATTTACCTTGCTGTAAATGAATGCAATTTTTAATAATATCTTGCAAAAGTTACTGTTAAAGCGATTTGGGTTATTTTTAGTAACAAATCCATACTCCAACTGGCGTATAATAGGCGAGTTTGGGTATTATACGCAAGTTGGTGGTTTCCCCAACCTGTTGATAGTGATATTGATTGGCACCATGGGAGAACACACCTATGAATGTTCTCAGCTAGCTCTGTGTCACTGGATACTTATTTAGCAGTGTAGACATGTACACTGTTGTAAACGTTGCCAGTCAATACTTTCCAAGGCTCAATATATATATGTCACTGATACAGTCCAACATTGAAAAGGTAACAGTCAGACACTGTCACTGACACAGTCCTATTTAATGATTTTTGGAGAAAAGATTTTGTGAAAAATAAAAAAAGATCGGAAGAAACATAACACAGAGCGACAGTGTTATAAAACGAAGGCACAGGACAAATATTGTTTATACAATCGTCTGGGTGCCTCGGTAGCCGTGATCGCTAACGCGCTTAGTCATTTGTACTACTCAGGTCCAGTACACTCTGCCGATTGAGCTATATAGCTATAAAGACCTATATAGCAATATACACCTATACATTATAGCTGTATTGAGCTATATTTTATCAGATTTCAATTTTCATTAAATTAAAGCAATGTCGCATTAAACAATAAGGTTTAAGGTAATGTTGAGTACAAAAAGCATACAGTTAGATGTTTATTTTCATTTTTTATAAATGGAAAATTTCCGATTTTTTTACATCATTATTTTTTAAAAAGAATCCTTATATTTAATGTCTTTTGTTATCCACCTAATGATACAATCTTCTTTTAAAAGCGACTTTGTTTTGTTTTCCTTAAAAAAGAAAATTACTCAAAAAATAGCTCAAAAGACCTATTTCAGATAGGTCAATAGAGCTATTATAGGTCTTTACAGCTATATAGCTCAATCGGCAGAGTGTACTGGACCTGCTACTGTACATGCTATCAATTTCGGTTCGATCCCCAGCGGCGGTGGACAAAAGACAGTGATGTCTGATAATATTAGTTGTTATTCTACTGAGCTTATGTTTGTTGTTAACAATTGTACACGAGGGCTGGGGTATTTACCGAAATGGACCGGAATGGAGTTGAATTACCGAAATGGAGGGAAATGGACTTTAAATTTGCATTATTTCAAGAGAATGGACCCTAATTTACATTCTTCATCACCAACTGGAGTCATATGTAGAAGATTGGGCGTTTATTTTGTTTACATCTATTTTAAATTAATTTTTCAAAATAACGCAATTCACGGCACGATTTTCGTTACCGAAATGGAGGGCAATGGGCCTTAAATTGGCATTATTTCGAGAGAATGGACCCATATATGCATTCTTTATAACCCAATAAAGCTTCATGTAACAGATAGGTAGTTAAATTTGACTGGAAATAATTTTTATTTATCATTTAAAGACGCGCAATAGCCGAGATTCACGGTACGATTTTCGATGGCGCTGCATTACCGAAACGGAGGAATATGGATCTTAAATACGCTCAATTCAAGAGAATGGACCAAAATATACTTTCTTTGTCATTCATTGGAGATATATGTAAAATATCGAAGGTTTATCTGTCCTGAAAGTATTTTTAATATTTTTTTCTAAATTTGGGAAATGATATCGACAATATAGACAGAAGTAAAGAAGGAGACGGAAAGCGGAAAATCCGGATTTATTAGTTATGTAACATTTGATGAAAAATAAATTAACACAAAAAACACAAACAATACCTTTTGAAATAATTGAGAATGAATTTAAGCAACGTATCAAAGTTGCATAATACCCAATAATGAAATACATTTATTTAAAGGGACATCACGTGAAAAGACGTGTTTTTTTAATGAATGTATGTATTGTATGCACTTCCACTTATGTTACCTCGCTATCCCCATATTCATAGTCCGTTCCAAATGTCCAGTTTGACCACTTGAATTGTTCGGGAAAGCCCGGCTAAAAATAGCGCCGATAACGTCACCTGATTAGGCAGCAAACACAAGTGGTGCGAGCGAGATGAAACGGTTT